AATTCAACATAACATCGAGCATAAAATACATTTCGTATCCAATGTTTAGGTAAATCAAGACTATGAAGCTAAAATATAAGAATAAGAAAATAAAATAAATTAAAGTTTTTTTTTTCTAACCTTTTGTTCACTATCAATGAGTGTAACAAGATCTTCCCATGCTGACCAAAGATGAGGTACTGCTTTAACTGTACGTACAAAGTAAGGTAATGCTTCATTCAATAAACCTAATCGTTTGAGTACAAGAGCATAACTAGATAAAAGAAATAATAAATTTCTAAAATATACAAATAAAATAAACTTACACATAACAACTATAACCATTTAATGGTTGATTTTTTTCACTAGTTGTTAATTCTGTACGAAGACGTATTAGCCATGCATTATCCAGTGATGCTTTAGCTTCATTATAGAAGTATACAAAAAAAGTGAGAATTATAAGTAATTTATAAAAGAAACAAACTTGTTGCTTGTCGTTGATTGCTCGCTGTATCAGCTAAAAAAAATAAAATGACAAAATTTTCAAATTCAAATAAACGAAGAAAAAGATTCCACTTACGAAATACATCGACAAAATCGTCACAACGATGTTTAAGACCATCCTAACAAAAACACAATAAATATATAAAGAAGAATTGTATGAATTATATATACAAGATATAATGCATAGAGTCGAAGAAAGAAACCATAACCATTTGTACAATTTCTTAAATGATGTGCACAACGAGTATATTCACGAAGATCAAAATAACTTTTGGCCATTAAATATAAACTTGATGATGTACCTAATTCCTTAAAACAAAAAAAAATTGAAATTCTTCTGTGAATATATTATTTGACTTACTCTTGCTGTTACATTCAAATTAATTCCATCTTCTAACTCATCTTCATTATTTTCATTGTCATTTGTTACAGATCCTAATGTAATACATTGGAGCATTTCACAACACCTAAGGAAAATATATTTCATATAGAATCATTTTTTGAAATAAAAATTTACCATTTTCTACTATGTACAAGTCCAACAAGATCTAATTCGGGTATTGCTTTTTGCAAATCAGTCACAACTGTTTTTGGATCAAATGGAAGATAATTAACATCACGTTGTTCATCGAATGACATTGATAATTGATTCATTATTGTTTTTTATCTCAAAATATGTTTTATTTTAAAGATAAACAAAATAATGAATAATTCTTGGTTCAAAAGTTTTATTGAAAGTATAAATATTACATCATCATCATCAACAACAACAAAAAAAGAAAGAAAGAAAACAATAATAACTACTGTTGCCTGAGTCGACTAGAAAGAACTCGAGTTAACACAATGCTTATATTATAAATGGATTTATTGTATTAAATCCTTCTTTTTTATTCGATGGTATTGGTGATAATAAAATTGGATTTAATAAATTTTTGATTGTATCACGTCGTTCACGTTCAGCTATTTGTGGCTGTTTTTTATTATTACTATTTGTTAATAAACGTGTTTTATATGTATTCAATAATTCAATATTTAATTGTGGAATTGTTTGATGAAAGACTAAATCAAGTTGTTCAACATATTGAGTATGCCATAATTCATATATATGACCAATTAATGATATAAGATTTGTATTAACACCTTCATTTTCATTATGTCTTTCAAGTGCTTTCAGTAAACATTGAAATAAAAATTTTACATCAATAATTGATGATGGATTCGTCTGTTTTTCAATAATATCTGTATAGAGTCTTGTTAGCGGAAGAATAATTGGTAGAAAACGATTGATACAATATGCATCGGGAAATGTTAAACATTCAAATAATATTTTAATAATACAACTGAAAAAACGTAAAGCCAATGGAGAATCTAAATTATACACAAACATTTTGTTTTTTCTACAACAAGAAATATTTAACTCACTTTGTCGAGATGTTTTAATCATATACATAAATAGATCGCTATAATCCATTTTATCTTGTGAATTATTCATTAATTTATTACTAATACTATTATTCGCAACTTGTTCATCCCATTCATCAATTTGATCTAAATCACCATTATTTATTTCTTCGCACATACTTTCACTATTATTTCGTCCATTATTAATTTTCGTCTTTTTCTTATTTGTATTATTTGCATTCGAAATTGTTTGTCCTGGTGGTAATGTTTTAAATATAAAATATCGAATAATATCAATAAAATCACGTGTAATTAAAACACAAACACATTCTTCAATAACTTCATCGGAACATTCACCTTGTTGATAATTATTTGTTGTTGCTAATAAATTATTCCACATAATTGTTAAACGTTGTTGAATAAAAGGTAGAAAAACATCAAGAAATGTAAGAAATAATTCATTTATCACTTCTTTATCCATATCTATCGATGAATAATAATTCTCAACAAATACACGACAAAAATGTCGTAAAACAATACGAAGACGAAATGATGGAAGTGTATTTAAATTTTCAAATAAAATTTTTTGTAAAAATGTTGTTAAAAAATAACTATCATCATTTATTTTTATATAATATAAATCAGTATCATGCGCAAAATATATTCCATTTATTTGATAACATATATCAAATAGACGATGAAGATAATCACGAAGACGTTGATCATCTACTACAGTATTAGATGTTGATTGAAAACGAATAATACTTACAGGAAGACTGGACGGTGTGATACTAAACAGAAAAGAAAACGATCAATATGATATGTTGTGCGTAATCTTGAGGGTGTGGTTATGGACACGAGTCTTTGATTACAATGCGCAAACCCACATCCACCCACCATTCCTGCGCCCACCCTCATTTATATTATTCTATAAATATTACTACTTAAAAATAAAATTGTTCTTACGTTGATGTAATTGTTGCTTTTGCCATATTATTACTTTCATATGTACCTAAATACAATTGTCTTTCTGTTTCACTATATGTTAAATTTGTTTTTAATATATCATAAAAAGGATTTATTTGTCTATCATATAATTGATTACAAAATTGTGTTACTTTTATAATATAATCAGATAGAATTGGTCGAAGACAAATAGAAATTTTCGAACGTAAATTTGTATCTGATTGTTGTTTTGAATAACGTAATATTAAACATAGACAATGTAATGCAAGCATTAAATTTCTTCGTCGATAACGTATTAAATTCATTTGATTGACTCGATTTGAACATAAATCAAGATATTCAATAAATTCCGGTAATGTTTCAGCTGTTAATGATATATTTAATACTTCATAAATAGGTTTAATAAGTTCATAAAAATCTTCAAATTGATTATTATCTTTTAATAATTTCTGATGAAATAACATTTGTATAGCATCAAGTAATTTTAATGTTGGACATGATAATTCATCAATTGTTATTGATAAAGAAGTTTTTGTTAATTGAAATTCATTTTTATATAATTGACAAAGAAATGGATATAATTCTGTATAATAATCAACCATTTTTATTGGAAAATTTTTACATAAATAAAGAAATGCATTTGATGATTGTGTTTGCATTGTTTCACATTCATTTAAATTTATTCCATTAATTGATTGTTGTTGATATAATTGAAATGTTGTTAGAAGACGTTGAATAATTTGTATAGCTAATGTTTGATCATGTTGTGTAATAAAAAACATACATGATAATAAATTTAAAACATGTCCATGAATATGTTCACTTAAATCTGGTGTAAATTGTAAGAGAAATTTTAATGTACGTAAAAATTGTTCTGTCAAAGTTGATGTCATTAATAATGATTGAAATTTTTCAGCTGATTTTATTGTTAATGTTGATGAAGAAAATAATTCTTTACGAATAATAAATAACACATGATCAAGTAATAAATAAAATGCTTCCCATTCTATGATTAAATATATTGATGATAATGAATTCTGAGTTTTATTTGGTGTACGTTGAACAAGTGATTCAAGATAGATGAAAAGATTTTCAAGCATCGATTTTAAACACGACATATTTCTTTCAATGTCTGAAATTGTTTCAGTAAAGAATAGACCAATAAATGATTTAATTAATTTCTGTAATTCACTTCGATATTGTGAGAAAAATTTCCAATAAAATTGTTCTTCACTATCATATTCAAATAAAGCATAGATAAAACATTGCTGATTATGTATGAATTGTTTTTTTAATATTTCATTCTCATTATCATCGGGTGTTGTTGTTGTTACTGATGATGATGGAAAATAAATACGATGTAATGATTGTTTTAAATTAAATATTAATTTTAAACAAAATTGTTCATTTGATAATAGTGTTGGTTGTCGAATTATAAATAAATTTAATGCTTGATAAGAATTTAATGATAATAAATGAAATGGATGTTGATTTAATAGAAGAAGAAATTGTAAAAATGAACGTGTACGTTCATTAACAAATGTTAAAAATTCATTATCATCAATAGATTTTGTTGCTAATTGTTGAAATAATTGTAATAAATTATTTGATAATTTTACAAGAAGTTGTCCAAGCATTTTTAAACAATTTATATGATCATTTGTTACTATAGCACGTAATTGTTCAATTGAATCTGTTGGACTAATTAAAAGTCGATAGAATATTTCTAATGTATTATCACCAACTAGATAATTCAGAAATAATTTTTCTTGTTGACAATTTAATGCTGCTGATGGTAATGATGCAATACGTTTATTTTTTTGTTGCTGTTGTTGTTGTAATAGTTTTCTTGCTAAACGTTTATTAACAAGACTTAGTAAACATTCAAATGAAGCATGACGTAATTTAACAGAATTTAATTGAAAAAATTTCAAAAATAATTCACAAAGAAATAATTCATATTGTTCGAAATGATTATATTCAACCCATGTAAGAAAACTATTGACAGTTAAAAGACATGTTTGGGTTAAACGTTCATGTTGTTCAGGAACAGTTAAAAGATCATTGGATATACGTATTAAACATGGTAATATATCATTTAAACGTTTTTGTAATTGATTGAGAATTTGTCGACGACGTTGTGCTTGAATATTTTGAGCATAAAGTGT